ACATTTTGCCCATGTGTAAAACACTATCAGTCTGTTTATGTCAAACAAATGTGCTTAAATAGTACTGTGGTTGAAGAGATTGCTAACTAGCTCCAAAACATTGCAATAACCACTGTAACAGATTGTGCCCTTCAGGTTGGTATCATAAGCATCATTGAGTGATTATAGTCCTTAACAGCCAACTAATGGTGTAAGTGTGATCAGTTACATCCAAGCCCATAATTTCTCAAGGATAAATCCAACAAATAGTCAGTGATAGCAAAAGGGATAATTTATCTTCACTACTCCCAAATGTGTGGCTATCATTCTGTAATGAGCATGTCAAGCTGAATCAGACTAAAAAGAGTTTAAACTACCCAATGGTAGAAAATAATCTGGGAAATCTCTTACACCTAAACTATAGACTGTATTTAAACAAGGAAATAATTTAAATTTAAAGAATTTGCAAATACATGAGCCAATGCCAACAATTTCTTACAAAATCATTGCCTGACAAATGTGTGGGTTTTCTTGCAGCTGACCTGAGCAATCATGTTGTCTTACTCATCCTACGTACTCCCAGCAGTAGCTGCTTTGTTAGTGACTTGCCATGCCTTGACTAAATGTCCAGAAATTTCTGGGCTGCCTGATATCCCTGGAAGAGATGTCCTGAAAGGACTGCCACGTGTACCAGGTAGGTAAACTTCCCTTTTTTGGAACAGATCCTTGTCATGAAGGCAGCATGGCACAGAAGGATGTGTGCCATCAAGGAAGCAGATGTGTTAAGCAGAGGAAGGAAAACTGAATGGAGGAAGAAGGCAGTTTAAATATTTTTTTTTTTTCCTCAAAAGACAAGCCTTCTCTCTCTTCTGGGAGAAGAGGGGAAGTGAATAGGTTATAAATACTTTAAGATATAAATATTATATATACAAATATGTCTTTGTAGTGCTTTTTGCATTTACTTTCCAAAGGGAATTGCTTCTTTCACAGGAGAAGTTATCTTTTTTTTTTTTTTTTTTTTTTTTTTTAAGTATGAAGGCAATGCTACCCAATATTCAAAAGTGTAATAAAAAGGATTCTGGCACGTTTCTCTAGTGTTCAAAGATGGTATGTGCAAAAGTAGACTGGTAAAGAACACAGTTTACACTGCGTAATTTTCCTTCTATGTAGAAATGCTTACTCCAAGTCTGTTGACAAGGCTAAAGCACTACCAAAATTATTCATAAACTCTCTTTATTAGGTAAAATATGCTTTTTTTTAATCGATTGTGAAGTGCAGTAAGTGTTGCAAAATTGCAACTTGGAGATGCAGCAATATTTTGTGGTTCTACACTGCTATTTGTTTCAGTTGTGAATAATTGGAACATGATCATGGGAGCACATTAGTGACTTCATTCTACATGTAGGACCCTTATTACCCATGGAAATGGGTAAGAAAAAGGAATCTACCTTTACAATACTTTACAGTACTGTTAAAGTACACCTTTAGCAAGCACTACTGGATGGGCTCTATTTCACACTATCTATGCAGGAAGTTTCCTCTACAGGTGTTTATTCCTCCACTGAAATAAGATCCCACTGTAAAAACACAAAGCATCCACCCTGCACACCAAAAAAAAAAAAAAATGGTACGGTGTCATAGGAACTGTTCCCTCTCTAAAATCTCCCTTGTGCTTGTTCACCACCATTTAGTAGAATGAGACAATTTCTGTTTTGCAAAGCCAATTTCATACATATAACAAACAAAATTCTTCAACCTAGAAAAATTTAGTTGGTTCTGTGCAGAGGGGAATTAGTAGCATTTTAGAGGGTTGGATGTTTTTGCTAGTCTGCTCTACAATAGATTAACAACAACATGAAAAAATTACTGGGAAAATATTTATTTTACACCTGAGGATGTAAAAAAACCCCATACTATTACATGCTAGTTCTGGAAAATTATTAGTTTTGTCAAGGGAATTGTTCATATCATCAGAGCCTAGTTTTGCTTGATTGTATAACCTTTATTTTTATCTGTATAGGTCTGCCTGGTTCTCTGGACACTGACTGCCACAAACTTTTAGTAAATTTGCAACACCGACTTTTCCAACTTGAAGCCGGTAATTCTTCCTCTTGTTACTTTTTCAGCTCACAGACAGTTTTAAGCTCAGTAGGCAAAATTAATTATAGATTCATGACTTGCAGGAAAGAAATTGCATTTGAAAATGGTACTGCATCCCAAAACTCCATTTTCTCATCCAAAGCTTGGGAAATCAAGACTCTGTTTCCCTGGCGTAGCAGATTTCTTTTAGCAACTGTAACACATATTTATTAAAATTTGATTTATTTGAAAAATATTACAACTGATGTTGCACTTTCCACACAGATTCATCGGAACTCCTCAGTTTTGTACCACATATTTTTGTCAATCAGCAACCAGATTGTTGAGGGTGGTAAATTGTTTCTTTCTGAGAAAGAATTCACAAAAAAAATATCACTTCTCTATTTCAGTTGCTCAAATTTGAAGTAAACTGATCCTCTTTAGAAAGCACACTCAATATAACAGGGCTCACAGAGTATGTAGCAAATGTGAGTGGGGCATCCTCGTCTTGGAGACAAGGACAGATGGTCACAAGGAGCATAACAATACACTTAGGGAAAAACTAGTGGATTGGTAAAATTTAAAATCTTTTTTCTCTTTATCCATTTCTCTCATTTTTGCCTTCTCTTCCTCTTATCACTTTTAATTTGCTCTTTGTCTCTTGATTTCCCTTTCTTTGCTTTTTCTTCAATAGGCTGCAGAAAATTTAAAAAGCTAAGTGGGTTTTTTGTTTGGTTTTTTTTTATGTTTCAGTACTTGCTTTGAATGGGAAAATAAGAGAAGTAGGAGAGAAAGTCTTTGCTACCAATGGAAAGAAAGCTGATTTTGCATCTGCACTACGATCCTGTGAAGAGGCTGGAGGAACTCTTGCAACTCCCATGAATGAGGAAGAGAATAAAGCTATTATGGACATCGTGAAACAGTACAAACAATATGCTTACTTGGGCATTAAAGAGTGTGAGACTTCAGGCCAGTTTACATATATAACTGGTGTGCCTCTGGGCTACACCAAGTGGCACCAATATGAGCCTAATGGCAAAGGGAAAGAAAAATGTGTAGAGATGTACACAGATGGGAGCTGGAATGACAAAAAGTGCAACCTGTATCGTCTCACAGTCTGTGAATTTTAAAGAATGGCCTTTCAGCCACCTCGGAGTGTGGAGACAATGAAATATGCTGTGTCTTAGGTTTATAAAATTGCTGCAAATTTTCTATATTGTAAAATCTAAAATGAATCATATTTAGGTAATTTTTTATCCTTAAGAAAATACTAA